AAGCCAACCCCATAGCCCCCCCTGCTACCAAAACCTTGCCACGCAAACCCAATACAATACTAGGGTCCCCTTTGATGTTGCTGAACAGTTTCAATTTCTCCCATTTGTTTTTTCACGTAGGCCTGGGCAGATGATGTCAGGAGATTTCGGAAAATGTTTAAGTATCCAGTTTCTACTGAGCTAGTGGTAATCGTTGGGAATCATGACATTGGATTTCATTATGAGTAAGTCTTGTCAGTGAAAGGGGTACTCAAGTGCCAAGAATGAAATGTCAGCATGCATACGGTAACTGGTTTTGTGTCTGAGTGGCCTCTTGTGTAGATACACGAAAGTTTTTGATCATAACCAAATTAGAAGGGATTGTAATTTAGAGCAAGACCTTGAAAGGTATCCACCTGTGCACAATGTACCCACGGAATAAATTTTAGAACAGGTTTCAGGCTACTTTCACGCTTCTCTGAGCATATTGTTGTTCAGAGTTGTTCAGTTGTTCAGAGCTGGTCTTTCTGCATGGGCAGAGAAACCTTGAAGCTGCTTTTCCTTGTGTTGGGCCTCCTTGTCTGAAAAGCGTTTAGTCTGAGCGTATTCCCTTTCCTGTTATCGCAGCACAGAAGAGTGTAAGTGCCCTCGCCCTGGTGTACTTCTGCAGGACGGCTGTGCTTACACTGATGGGACTGGGACAGAGTACACGATGGGTGGCAGAGCATCCCTCTGAGTTTGCTCACTGAGTGTGTGATCTGGATAATGGAGCAGCAAGCTGCAGGAATAGTCTGCAAACTGTGAAGCAACTGTGTCAGATGGTTTACAATGCCAGTTTCTTACCTCAGTTGTATTTTTGCTCTGTGACACAGAATGACTACTTACAAGGTAAATCGATTTGAAAAAGTTTTCAACTTTACTTCAGGAAAGCTAATAACTCGAAGAGGAATAAAGTGAGTACATTTAATTTTTTTTCAATGTTTAGAGTAGTGATCACTGAGCTAGCAGACCAGAGTGATGAAAACTGAGAACTGAAAGTGGAATTGCTAATGAAATAGTATGGGAATGCTTTAACTTAGAGCCTTTTTGTTTTGGTGTTGTTTTTTTTTTCTTTTTTTACTTTGGATCTAGATTATGATATGTTAAGCATGAAACACTTTGTACAAACCTGTAGTTTGATATGGAGTGGAAGCTGTACTTTGAGCTAGGTAAATTGTAACGATTTCCTTTCAAATGGAAAAGTACTGTGGAGTCAGAATCAAATTCTCTGGTTTTCCTTTTTACTTCCTTGCAGCTGGTAATGACCCATGGCTGTAAACATAACAGAAGAATAGGATTCAGTAAAGAAACACAAACAAAACCCCCTCTGTGCTTACAAGTTAAAAGTTTAATTAATTTTAATAACTTCTTTAGTCTGCTGAACTTAACTCTTTGAGGAATTTGGGAACATCGCAAGTTGCTTGCCCACGGTTCTTCCAGAGGGTGGGGTAATAATGCACCTGCCGGTTTTGGCTTAGCGGAGACCTTGGTACAGAGCTTCTGCTCGTGGGTGTGTGACTGTGGGTGCAGTTGTCTGCCGTGGGCCCTTTTTGGTGCCTTCAGATACTGTGCAGGACCCCGATGAGGGAAAGCAATAGTGGGTTTGTGGACAGGCATTTGTCTTTAAGCCTCAGGTATATGAAGGAAAGACCCATCGCCACTCTGCATTTGGCATGTATGCCATCAGGTTATAATCACTCATGTAAACCTAAGATTCAAAACCTACAGCCCTAGAGGTTCCCAACAGCTCTAGAAATGGAGTGTCTTTTTTTAGGAGGATCTGTGAGCTTCATGAATGCTCAGTATAATGCTATTGTTTATCATAGAGATGTGGGGTCCTCTAGATATGTATTTCAGCTGTTTTAAAAATTAGTTATTAAGGAATATCTCCATGTCCCCTTTGATAAAACAGCACAGCAGAACCCCTGCATGCAGTTGCAGACTGTGTGTCTGGTATCATATTCATTAACTGAAATGAGCTGCATTATTAATGAAGCATTCCTACATAAACTATTTTACAACAAATCTGTGGTATAAAAGCAGCCTAATTTGCTAAAAGAGAATTAAGGTTTTTTTTGGTGTTGACCAGTATCTCTTAAGCGGAGGCATTCAGCTCCTTTATATCTGTAAAGCATGCTGAATTGAAGTGGGCATATATCTCCTGAGTCCTGAAGGAGTGACTAAACAGGTGTGAATCTTGTGGCAGAAGTTTGAAGTTGATTGGAAATCTACAGGGAAATCTATTACAAATAAAATCCTGTTTTCTGTGTGACAGACCACAAAGTACCGAACTAAGTTTGTTCAGGGTAGCCAGCCAAATGCAGTACTGTTTTGCTTTTCAGTTGTTCTGAAGAAATCAAATGTCTAAAATTACATCTCTGAGGTCTAAAATGTCTGTGGAGAGAGAACCAGGTTCTCCTTTCCCTCAGAATTCAGCTTAGTGGGCTTCTAACATCCCACTAGAACACCACTTAAGTATCCGTTATAATATTAAAAACATATCTTGAAATGTAAACATGAAGCATAGCATACAGTTTATGTGCAACCTAATCAACAACTGATTATCAAGCAGCCTACCAGGTAGAGCAACGGCCACAGTATGGATACTCAAAAGAGGATTTATCGCACGTGACTTCGGAAGCTGTTACGTTCTGCTGTTCTGTTGAGCTGTGTCAACTTTGGAACCCTTGCATTTTATGCTTTCCTGTCCTCCCCACTTCCCTTCTCTTTGCCCTCTCCCTGGTATTTTCCAGCTTTGTCCTAGTGAACAGTGTAGCCATGGAGGGTGATGGCTGTGCTGTCTGCCGTGCCTCAGAGGCAAAGCTTGTGGCGCTTTCTCACCAACTGAATTGCTCCCAGCAGGTAAGAGTTTATTAAATATCTGATTATAGCCAGCAACTCGGCTGCTGCAGTGGGAATGCTGATACTCCAGCAATAGTCGGGACATAACCAAGACCCTCCTGAAAAAAATCTGCTTCCAATTCATATTGCAACTTGTTAGCAGAGCTTTCTTCTCCTGATTTGCCTCTTCGCATTTTTACTTAACTATTAACTGTGCTGCTTTGCGTTCATGGTGTTAACTTCCTCGTCAGTGCCGCCAACGAACAGAGGGTGTCATTTCCCCTGTTCCCAGGAACGGCAGAAGTTCTGTAACCCTCCCTTGGACTTAAGATCCGTAATAATCCCTGCATTTATACTTATGCATATTGTTCTGTTTTATACCCTTCAAGCTAGCCTATTTTAGTTTTCTGATTCTATTGGAGTCCTGTCTTGATAGCCTAATAATGTTTTAATTGTAGTATTTTTTCATCAAATCCAATTGCTTCTTGTATTTCGTTCCTCTTCCCTTTTTCATAAGCCAACTGGACACACGGTAGGCAGCATGATTGACTGGGTTGGCAGTCAATCAGGAAACCAGCTCCCAGTGGAAAAAGTGCCAGGCTGTAACTGCTGTCTCCCTCGGGCTGCCCAAAATCTCTTCTGCCTTGTTGTGCAGCGAGATTCTGCTGTTGCTTTCCACATTCAGAGAGAGTGCAACCCTTATTTACAGCATGTACAGAAAAGGGAATTAAGGCATTTCCCCTTCCATCCACAGTAGAGCCTCTTATAGAGTGGACAGGATTTAGACACTGTACTCTGAGCTGATACTGCTTTTTGCAAAAAACAAAACAACAAAAACCCCCAACCCCTCAAAACCTAGCTGTTGTTTAATTCCCTTTCCCACTCTTATGGTACACATAGGTGAAAAATGGCATATATGGATTGATTTTATTCACAGAAACCAAATCATTCCAGCAAAAGATGCGGTGATGTGGAAAAGCTTCCAGCTTCAGAACCCATCCTTTTACAGGTGTGTTAGAGGTGGGGTGAGGCAACATGTAGACACGTTTTTACTGTATTTATTACTGTTCCAGAAAGGCTGGATCATTAACAACTGATCCGTGCTTTGAACTTCTCCCAGCATTACCCTCTGTATCGGAAAAGTGATGTTGAATGCAGCGGAGAAGATTCTGCTCCTCCAGAGGAGAAGAACGTCCCATTTAAAGAGAAGTATGATGTACTGTCTCAAGAAGCATCACAAAAGGTTTGATTTATTGGGAACTTAAGTATCGGTGGGTGGGTGGGAGGCGGACAGGAGTGTAGATACATATAGAGATCCAAAAATTTGGGGAAGGATGTTAGCTGAGACAAACAGACCACAGCTGCCTCTGCTCTAATGAGGCCTTGGGGAGGCTGCTGGTTAGAGCTGCTCCCCTGAGGACCATCGCCATCCTGGCCTTGATTCTGCTGTGGTTCCCCGGTACAGGCTGGAAGTCCCAGCGCTCTCAAGTCTGCTGCAGTGCTGTTACCTCCAGTGCTGCGTTCCGTACTTTACGTACAGTGTAGATTCGTGACAAACCTGGTAGGAAGCCACTGTTTTGCAACACTTTGAAAGGACTGCTTTTGCTGAATTGGTAACTACAAGAAAATGTAAGAAGTCAAAGTATTCCCTAAAAATCTAATGGTCAGTATTTGTTTCCTTCTGCATAAATGTCTTCCCTCAAGATTGGCAGTGCACAATTCTCCTTTAGACAAGAAAACTTGCTTTACTAAACCCAAGGTTTTTTGATTTGTGATGTCAACAGCATGCTATTGCCTTTGTTCTTCTGATCTGTATGGCCAAAAAAACCAGTCCAGTATTTGGGATAAGGGCCAAATGGGTATGATTAATATTACAGTATCAACACCTGTCTTACTGCAAAACAGAAGTTTACACAAAACACTTCGTAAGAATATTAGAATTGCTGTAATTTCATTCTGCTAGAAGGAAAAAAAAAAGTTTTTAAGCTCCAATTCTTTTTAGTTATGACTTTTTGTGCTTTACCATTTTGTGTTCTAGCTGATATGGTGGTTTCATCCCCGTTTGATTCTCAGTGGGCATACACATAGTGCTTGTGAAGTGCTGCACGCGGGGAAAATTCCAGAAATCAGCGTCCCGTCATTCAGTTGGAGGAATAGAAACAATCCTAGTTTCATCATGGTAAGTTTTAATTTTTTTTATTTTTGTCAGATAACTTTCATAAATAAATCAACATGGCAGTCAGCTATATTTTAAAACTGATTCTACCTGTAAAAACAAAAAATAAAAAAAAATTGCTTACCCACCCAACCCACTCAGTACACTGCATCCACTTTATAAAGTACATCCGTGGGAGCCACGTGTTCTGTGTGGTACAAAGCAATGCTGTTAAAGATCTAATTAGTATCCGGGTACAAGCATCTAACGTTTTCTTATAAAGAGGGTGCATTGTAAACTATTGACTTGTAAAAATAATCAGTATTGTGCACTGAACAGTAGAAAGACTAGTTTGGCTTGGTTGATTTACCAACTATGAAAACAAGACCGTGTCCACCTCAAACTCTTTTGCATGGTGACCACGGTTTTCAGACTTGTGCATTAACCGCTTCACACGGTGAAAACGTTTGTCACGTGCCAATAGTCTGCCGCCTCATTTCCAATTCACATTTTGTAAGTGTGTTGGTTATGCTCTCACAGGCAGTTCCAGTGCTCAGTATTTCCTTAAATCAGTTAGTTCCCCAGTTCAAAACCAAAAAGAACTCCTAGAAACTTGGAGTAAGAAGCAAAACCTACAATCTGTTTAGAGGGGGCAATCTTTCATGTATTTTTTTACTGCTGAGTTTAGGCTGCTTAATACACAGATAACCCAAAACTTTTAAATTCATTTTTGCAACTGTTAGTATTTCTTGTTGAAAGTAGTTCTGTTTATTCCATGTTCCTGAGAGTAGCTGCCTTCAAACTACACATGCTCTCTGCACACGCCAGACAGTGCATCTTCACTGCAAAACAAGAGGTTGGCTAATTAAAGTTGCATCGTCTTCACTACCGTTTTATCTCGACCTCGGTCCGTTGTAAACTTTAATTTGAACTGCAAAGTCAAGCCCAAACCCACTGAAGTTCTTTGTTGTTGAAGCTCCTGTTTGTAATTTGGATTAGCCAACGTGTGTTTTGCAGCATGTACTGGGTAGGAGGAGGGCTTGGGGCGGGGAAGGAAGGGGGCACATTCACAAAACCTAACTTTAGCCTGGGAAGGCTCCTTCCAGGTGGATTTACAGCTGCTAAAGCTAGGCTTCTCTTGAAGGCAGATCAGATGAGGAGCCCAGCTCTCTATTTATGCTAGATGGAATACAGGGAAGATTGGCCTCCGGGCTAACGTTGGCCTGGTGAATATTCCAGTTAGTGCTCAGCACCGCAAGGTACGAGCTCTTCAGCCCCCTGGAGAAGGCACTGGTGCTAGGAAACGGGCCCCAACCCTTGCCACCCAATGCAGAATTTAGAAACTGGAGATCTGACAGTTGTGGTGGTGACTCCTGACTCAGAACCCACTGGAACAGCAAAGTGACAGTCGTCTTTTCTTTTCCAGGGCAGCGTAACACCAACTGACTTCTCCCTCCAAAAATGCTTCCTTCCGTATGAGAGCAGAGTCTTTACTATATACTGTGCAGCAGGTGCTCTGCTTGTAATCCTGATACTAGCTCATTTTCAGCTTCTCACTCCACCATTTTGTTTTGCTCAGCGTTTAATCAGTAAGCATAAAGCAGTATGAAGAGCCAGACATCTGCATTCAGTCACTGAAATACCAAAGCTGAGAACAGTCAAACATCAGACTATATTCATGCCAGCAAATGACCTAATTTGATTGCTAGTCTGAAGGCAGGTTGCATTTACACATACCATAGAAGTCCTATACAGCTGATATGACTACTACAGGATAAATAATTAACTGAAATGAACGTTTCATGCTGTACAAAAATACTGTATTCTACAATCAAATGAGTCCTTTTCCTGCTATAATTTTCTGTATCAAATATGTATATTAAAACTGTAACTGTACATTATGTAAAGCCTATCGCCTCATCACTTAACTGCACTAGTGTCTTACCCTGGTGGAGGCTCAGTCCTGCAAACTGGAAACATTTCTGTTTTATTGCTGCATGGCCCTTCTAATGTTGTACTTCTGTTTGTTAGGGTCAGGCAGAAACTAGATACATCAGCACTGAGAGATGTGGATTTCCATAACCTTTTCAGGATGGTGTGTGTAAGGGACTGTGGTTTGGGACAAGAGATCTTCCAGTTCCTGACACATTAAATCGTCAGCTGACTACAATTTGCAGTTATCATCTACCAGACAACAACGGGAAGAAGCTTGTGGATCCAGTTTGCTGATACACACTTGAAACCTGCTTAAAAAAAAAAAAATTAGGCTAACACCTCAAGCTGCTATTTTTTAAAAAAGATGTGCTATGATGAGCTTAAAAAAAAAAAAAAAGAGGGCCCTATTGCATCCCAGAGATCTGTGTGGTGAGGGGCCCTCTAGTTGCCGATCTTCTGCAAGAAGGAAGGTCAGATACAGCTGCAGTTAACATTATCCTCTGCCTTGGCCCTCCGTCTATGGACAGACGGGGCCAGGAATGCGCGTTACTTTAGCTTCCTGCAAGGCCACCAAGTTCTGTTCGCTTTATTGTAGAGTCCCATTTTGAACTGGACTAGCTCCTCCGTGGGGAGGTGGAGGCTGCAGCCCAGCCGACCGCACCACGCCGTGCCGCAGAGCTGGGCTGCCGGCCCCCGCCCGGGGGGCAGCACCAAGAACGCAGGATCTGAGCTCGACGTCTTCGCGCTCTGTGTGCGAGGGAAGACGCGACCAACCTACCGCTGCTCCCCACCTGCCCCAGAAAAACCAGAGGGACCGTTTCACACCGGGACCAGTTTGCCGGCTGACATTCCTGCAGAGGCTGGGAGCTCTAACCTGAACTCCTGGGCTGGGGGGTGTTTTAAAGCCAAGACTATCTTTTCTTACTCGCTTTATTACTTGCTTTGGCATGGGAAGTGAGAGAACCTTTGCATTTGGGAACTTCATTTGTTATTAGCTTATTCCACCCAGCCTTTCACTTTCTGGGAAATATCTGATGACTAAATTGAACATACAGCTATCAAAGTATATGCATTTCTGGGAAGAGGAAATGGTCATATTACAGTATCTAAAATGGGATTGTTTATCATCAAATAGAAGCAAGTTCTCAATTCATCTGTAGTCTGAATTCTAAAAAGATGACCGATTGGGGTTTATCACTAACAATGATGCTTCTAGTAAAAAGTTACTCGAATCTGCTGATTTATATGCCAATGTGGGGAATGCGTCGGCTCTTTATCTCTCCCTAAATTTAAAATGAAGTGGGGGGAATGGTCCAAAGTGTGGTAAAACACTCTATAAAGTAATGTAGTCTAACGCTTCTCTAGGTTTCTGTTATTGCAACTGTAATTTTAGACATTTGTACAGGTTATTTTGGACACAGGAAAAGTATATAGTCACAGACATAAAACACCTATGTATAAAATATAAAGCAGTGTTATAGTTACTAAAAAGGACATGCCTTATTGCTACAGCAATTCTTGCTTTTTATATATTGTACTGTACCACAACTTGTTTTGAGAATGTCATTTGCATAAATTATTCAAGTTTGAGAAATATTCACACATTTTGATTCTACAATATTTAAAATAAAACCATTTTCTAATGTGTCTCTTTATTAAAAGAGAAATAAAAATGTCATCTTGTAATTCTCTTAGGCCAGACACGAGGGTTTATACACCTTTTTTGTTTTTCTTCTTTCTCGCTATTTACTTGCACAATGAAAGCCGCTGTTGGTACAAAGATTGAAGAGCTGTATATAATGGTGCTTTACACATTCACAATCGGTCTGTGCAATTGTGAAGTTCTATGAATGACCAAAGAATTACCAAACATATTCTCTAAATATAAACGAAAAAAACCCAAAACAACCCAACCAAAACCCTTGCTTCCCATTAAAACAACACCAGGTTGCAATTTGGACACTTGAATGAATTCCAATGTTTTAAAGCTGAAACTTCAAAAGAGAAAGGCATGTTCGCTGCAACATCCGGTGACTGTAATACCTTACTTGGAAAGGTAAGTGGTTAATTTGCATAATTTATAATTTTTATACTAAAGAGCATTTTTATATAAACCAGAAAAAAACCCCTAAACTCTACAGATAAAGTTCTTACCTCCAGTCACTGCTGCAGGTAAGGGTTGACATCAAGCTGTACAGCGCAATCAAAAACATACTTACATCTTAGCTCATTTTACAGGTACAGCCATAATCAAGGCACAAAGATCTTCTACAAGTATTTTTCTTCAATAAAGTTGTACAAAATAATATTACATTTTACAGTCTGTACAATATAATAAACCAGCAGTAAAACAAAAAAATATATATAGGGAGAGGACCGTTGTCCAAGAATGATCTGAACTAAAAGGATCATTTGTGGACAGCACAAATAACGTAAGTGAGGGTGGTCAATTTTCTGCCTAGATGCAACAGGCTGAAAAGTAGCTGTAAGTCAAACGCCTGAGGTGCGCAGAGACAGTTGGCTCCAAAACCCCAGAAAAATTGCTTTGTCTTCACTGTTCCTCCCGTTATCTACTCTACTTCCTGTGCCAGTAACGGCTTAAAAGAGGAGGTCACTTTATCAGTTGACCTGCAACTCAGAAATGCTAAAAACTGTGACAGAGTAATAAATATTGTGGTGCTGCTACATTGTGTGTCTACTTCCTCAACAGTATTTAATAACCTGATACAAAGTGCATTAATCTTTTTTTCACCCATCAAGTACTCTTCAATGTCATGTTAAAAAGGAGAACCCACACAGAGGGATTAGGTATGACTTTAGTGTCATCCAGCTGACATACCAGTTTGAACTGACGTCAACCTGCTGGAAAAAATTTAGCAGGCCACGTTCAGTTAAAAAAAACAAAACCTAAGGGAACAGAGGTAGCCGAAGGGCTTAGTGGAATGACGAAGAAGTGGCATGTCAAAATAAAGCACAAAAATAGTCCCAAAAAGCATGAAGGAAAACCAACCCAAACTCGCTTCAAATCAGCTTTAAGGTTAAATAATTAAAGTAAACAAAGTGAAGCGACTGACATTTCTATAGTATACTCGTCCACCCTGTGTGGGGTAGTATCAAGAGAAAGAGTAAGGAGCAAAGAATTTAAAACCACAGGTTCCACGGTGATCCCCCTCACAAGAGTTCATACTGGCGGAGATGCATCCTTTGAATGATGTCTCGACAGTCGTTGAACACTCGGCGGATATTTTCTGTGTCCACTGCACAGGTAAAGTGTGGGTAGCAGTAATGCCTGCCGTCTCCACTCGCCGTACTTATCCTCTGTGGAAAAAGGGAGGGGGAAAGGGTCAGGTGCCGTGCCACGAGCAGTTTCACATCTCAGCCATCTATAGACTTACAGAGCACCATGAAACCTGGGAAATTCTGTATATAGCTCATTTAAATAAAAAACCAAAAAGCAGGACGGTCTGTGGTCTGGTCCAGTATGAATCACAAATTTGAACCAAAGATTTAAAAAAAAGTTACGGATACTATTACGGGGTCAGTGTATTAGTACTGTGTAAGAGCCACTGCCGGTATCATCCTTTGCACACGCCATTCTCATGTGCACGTCACTGCAGCTCCTCTGTGCCGCTGACAGCACTGCAGTCTGCCACGCAGCTGTCCCAGGAACTACGCTCTCTTCTTTCTTGGTGCCATCATGTGGTAAATTTTTGAATTCTTGTTTTAAATCAGCAACGCAAAACAGAAAAACCTCCCAGCTGTGAAGCCAGTGGTGACAGAGAACAGGAGCTGAAGGCCCCCAAAGGTACCTTTAATTAGCACACCTATTAAGCTGGCTGGAGACTTGGTATCGTTATTGAGGCCAGACCGTGGCAGAATTATCAACAGCGTGGCTGGGTTCCCACAGAATAATAAAACATGCACAAATCCAGTAAACATCAGATGATGCAGCATTAAATCTTCACAAGGCTACTGCACAACTTTTTAGGTTGCTAACGTAAGCTCCGGCATCACTTCAGCCATAGTTACCTTGGTTAAAATCCCCCAGGATCTTAAAAAATGTTTTACAAAAAAAAAATCTTAATTTTGTTCTATATTACTATAGGACTGATAAATGTAAATCCATTCTGAATCATTAGCTTGAAGAATAGCTATGGCATGTCATGAAAGCAGAAGGTCAGTTCTTGGGATAAAAATTCTTATAAATCTTTTCTGAATTTTATCACAAATGGTACTGGCTAAACAACAAAAGACAATGTTTTCTCTCTCTGGCTACACTATATATTTTTAATACAGTGATTTATTTTACATGTAGGATTGACCTTTTAAATATCTGCAGCTACAGCTAGGCAAAACTATAGACATTTAGAAGCCATGATTCATATAATTAGATCAACAAGAAATTGCAGATTTTTTTCCAGGTAACTTAGGTAACATTAGATAGTCAGCACTAATTAAACAGAAGGTGTTCCAGATGTATACTAAAAATATCGATGCTACACTCGATACCTAGTCCAAGGCTTACCCTCATGAAAAATATTAATTCACTAACTTATTCAATTGATGGGTAAGTTGTCCAGACCATATTTGAAGCATGAAGTACACTAAACAATAATGAAACAAGAAAAAAAATTTTTTTACAAACTACTGCAATGGTGGCAAAATGCTGAAAGTCCCATTAAAATGTGGCTTGTATTTGTCCTCCTGCAAAATCTTTCCAGAAGGGTTTGGGGAGATCTTTGTTGTCCTGCAAAGTCTGGGGGAAATCAGACCCTTAGGAACCCAAGGGCCGAAAGCACAGTGGTGTGCATGGATAGTCAAGCTGACACGAATTTTAAAACAGTAAAAAAAAAAAAAAAAAAAATGCAGTAGTGTTTCTATTTTTGATACAATAGCCGCTTTACATTTTTCCCCCTTGCAGATCTGTTCCATATGCCAGTGGTATAATGCCACCACTCAGATGCAGCAAGAGACCAGTTACTAATTTTTTTTTTTCCAATCAATCAGACTTAAAAAAAATATTGTCCCCCAGAAGGTGGTCCAGTCTGCCTTCCAACTACTGCCGCACTGAGTCTCTGAACTCACACGCCTCAGAAGAGTTCAGCCTTGGCCTGTTGCACAGCTCCGTGGCTCTTTCGCTCTGCGCCGTTTGAGCCTGACACCGGTACGTGCAGCCTCCAGCCGCCATTCCCGCCCTGCCCTCACCCCTTCCAGCAGCACCAGCTCCCCACGCTGTAACAACCGCATTAACGTCGCCGAACGGGCTGCACACAGCAGCTACGTCCCGTGGGGACGTGAGAGGGGGGTCAGACTCCCACTCCGACATGCCCTTTCGAGGACTAAATGTTACATGCCATCAGTGAGGGATAATGTACAAATGCTTTCCGTGCCACCCCGATGCGGGCAGCAGGGAGCACACCACCCTACCCACCCAATGTTCCATCCTTCTCTTCCGTTTCGGTTAAGTCAGTCTTCTTTCACTAAGTGTCGTGCACTGACATCTACAGTAGTGAGTGGCCCACAATGTTCTGGTGACACCTGGTCACACACAAGGCACGTCAAAGGATGTATTTTCAAAATGTTAGGGGTTTTGGTTTTTTTTTTTTTGATCCCCCGACAACTCTATAGTTCTCTTATGTGAAGATAAATGCAGTATTTTCACCCCTAGCCAAAAGTAATTTTGAATAGTAGTGTGTCACTTAGCACCAGTTCGGAGGGGAAAAATAGTATCCCCTGGGATGGCAATGAAAGACCATTTATGTTCCTATAACCCAAGTGGGAGTACTTAATACCGGTGTCCCTACACCGCAGTGTCAGGAAGAGTTTTCAGCGAGGAGCCAAAGGCACAATTCCCGGGAGCCCGGTCTGGGTGTGTGAACAGCAGCTCCTTCACCTCCCAGATTCAGATTTTTTTTAAAAACCAGCACAAACCAGAGGGGCTGTGCCACTGTTTTAACAGGGGTTACCTATACACCGGGGATGTATCAAAACAAAACATCAGCAGCTGGAGAGCCCTGTGTACAAAACACCAAAACGGGGCCGGGGAGCCGCCTAAACAAGGAGCCCACGAGCATGCTGCCTCCGTGAAGAGCTCGGGAGGAGAAAGGACGTGCCTGAGCCAAGGGAAGGAGAATTTCCTTCAAGACACGTTTCCAGGACCGGGAGACACCCTCCCCAGCCCAGCCATGCCGCATCTTGCCTTCCCAATACTCACACACTACCAACTAGCAATAGTTATTGGAAATACATGTGTATTTAACCTCCTTCTAAAATCCTTCGAGTAACATGCTTTAAATCTGCCAGTACCAGTGCGTACAGCCAGGTAGAGTTTTAAGGGGTGCACTGCCATGGTCCTGATTTTCACACATATCCACACCTTATGCAGACCTGCTACTGTGATAAAAATTGCAATAAAGCTTATAAATGAATAAACCACATTTCTCTGAATAGTGTCTGAAAATTTAACAGAGTGGGACAAGGAAAAGATCGTAAGTGAAGAGACTTGGAAAGAAACGTACAAAGCAGAGCCAAGAAGGTCATAGGTAGAAAATACACCCCTTTTCTTCCTTGCACCTGGCTAAGGACATCAGACCCCTCCCCAGTCTGTATGCTGAGCCTATTGCCCCTCTCCCCGCCGCTCCAAAACCTCAGCCTTTTGTGCCTGACCCCACGAAACTGGAAGTGGCTGTTTCTACTTGGCCTTCGCCCACCTCGCCGGGCCCACGCATGGCCTCCATGACTCCAGGCACAGGCAGGCTGCTCAGACCATCTCTGGGAGCAGAAACGCCTCACTCGCGAGACTTTCATCTCAAAAAGCCCAAGAGTTTAAAAGCTCAAACGACTACGTCCCTCTGTTTCTTTACGCTGAGAAACCAAGCACAAACCCAGGAGAGAGACAGGCGAACACTGCCTATGGAGGAGATGCTCTCTGCTGGGCCCGCGGCGGATGCAGGGAAAGGGGAAAAGCTGTTTCGGCCCCATGCCCAAGCCCCGGTACTGCCCGGCGGCTGGCGGGTGCTGGCCCCGGCCCAAACACTTCCCTCGCCCCCAGTGCCTGCCGCTGCCGAGGCCTCCGCAGCCCCGCGGTCGGCTTTTATGTGGCTGCCACCCCCATGCCCCCCC